AATTTTCGTAATAGTTAACGAGTAATTAATTGTGAAAAATCGTTGTCTTAGGCCGGCCTACTGCCCAATTCGAGCGCGTGGCAAGATGTGCGCATAGCAATATCGATCGCCGGGCGGTCACATCTTGCCACGCGCTCAAATTGGGCGGTAGGCCGGCCTAAGACAACGATTTTTAATAATTAATTACTCGTTAACTATTATGAAAATTGCAAAATGGTACAGGACTTTTCCGTTCATCTCGATCCGTTCTACCTTCTCAAAAATTTTGTCCGATATGGAAAGACTCACCCTGTATATACATTGCGTTCACTATGTTTATTGGTTACATCACTTTGCACTCATAGAGAATAGTATGTACATACAAGAAAGCATCTTTCAAAGGAAAGATAAGTAATCTTATGCGAATGTATAAACTAATCTGTTTTTATAACACCCTATGCGGTTTTCTTCTTACGAGAAAGTCTTATACCGCGCGTCCCTCTAGTGAGGACATTTCGAACCACTTCACTTTTGTCTACCATGTGATTAGTAAGGTGGATGGTAGAAATGTAGTTAAATTTACTGTTATTGTGATTGTATTTACTATATAAAAATAATTAACTAATTTACTATTCATTACCTGAATATTTTAACAGAATAATAGTTAGAAGCTTATATTTTATAGTAAATTTTTTAAATGGTTGACATCAATGTGTCCATATGGTTGTTATTACTCATATTATAATAATAATTACTATAAAAATGATATCTCTGACTGTAATTATTTTACTATGCAATTATAGTTTCGAATACTACATATTTTTCTATCAGTGTACATTTTATGTATAAGGCCCTTTTTCTTGTACTTTCTCATTTAATTTATAAACAGCAGATTTGTAACTAAAGTTAAAACTTCAAATACTGAATATTACTGCACGCCCTTCACTGTCACGCAAATCCGTTACGGATTGCAAGATATCCCCAGTAGCACAATATATTGGCGCAATATTGGGAAATGATGTAAATCTAGTGTTCCCAATATTGGTCCAATATTATAAGATGGACGCCTTTTCTTATTTGGCCAATATGTCTATTTAACAATATTGGTTTAATATTGTATCAATATCAGGCCAGTATTCTTATTACATCGTTAAATATTGGCCAATGCACTTCCAATATAAATCTTACATCATATAATTATTATCGTGCAATATTTACATTTATTCCATGGCCAATATTGGCTTTACGTTGGACAATATTGGACCAATGTTTAGTCAATCTTCAGTCAACGCACTGTGCTATTAAGGACTGTTTAACACGTTGCATTGTCTCAAGAGGAGAGTCCTCAAAAAGATACGATTGTTGATTTACGCAACGACTTTGTCTAACGCGGTATTACACATCGGATGAGAGCATGTAAAGCAATTTACCCGTCGAATTCCAGTCGGACGTGAAGGGTCCGGTGTCGTTGAATTTGCGCACCAAGGAGGATATATCTTCTTCGAACATCGTCGTGTCAGTCAGCAATATTTGCTTAAACTCTTCCTACAATTACGAAACAATCGCGGAAAGAAAAATGTAACTGCCGTAGTTAAAAACTGCGCGTGGCAACTAAATTTTAATAGTAAAATATGGACAGCTAATATTTCGTGGTGACAGCTAAATATTTCACTACTGTGTCTATTGTATTAGGTGCGACAGCAAACCGTTTGCTGTGCGTTAGAAATTTATAGTTACGGCGGCGAGATATTTTTGGCAAACCACGATTAGCTACGGCGGCGAAACATTTTTTTCAGTGATATTGACAGTTAAAAAACCATTTGAGTTATCACGCGAATATTTGGATGTAGAAAATCCCGGGTCTCGGGTCAAATCCCTCTTTCTACGTACGGATTTCAAATTTATAACAAAGACAACAAAGAAATAAAGAGTAACAGATCTCCTACTCTTCTCTTCCGCCATGAGGAGAGTTAGGAAGCGAGCTAGTAAGCTCCTTCGGTAAAAAAATAGCACAAAACCTTCTAAGAAAATGGAAAGATCTAGAGGAAGCTTATGCCCAGCAGTGGACGAGACCGGCTATATATAAATATATAAATATAAAAAATTTGAGATTTCTAGCATCTGACTTTTTTTCACGCGTGACAATTTATTACAATATATTAAACGTTAAATTGTAAACGTTTTGAAACCATGATAAATGAAACAGCAAGAAATTTTCACACGCTCTTCCTCGCTTTCCGTTTTTAACTATATTTAACCTGAATTTTATAAATACTCAAATGTTTTTATCGGGCAAATTTTTCAAATTACGGTAGAATCTCTGAAGTAACGTCGCGATGAAGTAACGTCAAAAATTGGGAAAGTATTAATTGACATCTCATTTTCCTTTTTTTTTTAGCTAGCGTTGACGCCAACGCCGACGCGACTCAATTTTTTATTACAAAGTTTCCAGAAGTTTTTCTTTTATACCAGGGGAATATCGTACCTTTTTTTCAAGCAAAGTAACTTTGCACGTGGCAAGTAACTCCAAGTAAGCTGTCCAGGAGCGGTCGATGTCTTTTAATTTTCTCTTGAAGTCATAAGTCAGCGGCACTTCGTATTTTTCTGAAGATAATAAATTATACGTTTTTTCAATACCACGCCGTACAAAAGTGTGCACAATTTCGCGAATGTAAATAAATTGAGACAATGCTCCTGTAGAATTCACAGTGATTAAATCTCAAGTTAAAATCCATGTCTCTAGCGAGGCAGCTAATACGTTTAACATCTGTAGATCGCGCTGCGGGCTCTCGAGCAATAATACATGGATCTTGAGCCCCAGCGATTTTATGGATCGCATCGACCTCCTTATTTAGCACGGGGAAACATTTAGAGGTTTACCTAAAGTTTGGTGCTGCTCCTGGATCTTGGGGAACTCTTCCTCCTCTTTCGGAATCTCGGCGGTGAGCCTCTCGAACAATTGCAGCGCGGATTGCATGCTGATGAGATCCGTCGGTTCCTTCGTTATTCTGCAAACGAATGAATTCACGTACGATTCAGTTCGAAATTCAAAAAGGCCCCGCGACAGGATTTATGGGAGTAACGCCTCGCGAGCAACGCCTCTCCAATGTTCCGCTCGGTTTGAGGAAATTTACATTAATAGTATCGATCGGGAAACTGAAAACGAATATAACTGAGGGATTCGATTATGCAATAGAGCGGAATAGATGATGACGCGGAAACTCTAGGAAAGAATTTCCAGCATGGTAATGAGAAATAATGTGCGAACTGCAGTTAATTCTTTTCAATCGAAGGTCGGCGGGGGATAAATTTGCTATTTTTCTCTCTAAATTTAGTTTCGCGCGATGAATATTTAAATGTGAATGTTACCAAGGGGCAGTGTCTCGCGCCAAATATAAGCGCAGCGAGAACGCGCTCGTGCGCGCGAGGCCGCCCGTGTATTTTTTATTATTTACGCGAGTACGCGAGTTGTGAGGCCCCGGGATTATCGGAACTCAATAATGGCTGTTTAGCCCATCCATTTTAAGACACTAGATCTGTGACACGTTGTATCTATACTCTATATCTATTTGTAATAGTGTCCTTTTCATCTGTGTCTCCGTGGCCTTAATTTAAAATAAAACACAATTCGCCACTCACCACCAACGCGACGCGCAGCAGCGGAATTGTTCCGGCGAGAAATGACTCGTCGATCGGTGTCGAAACGATGTCGAATCAACGTCGATTGGCGACGTCGTTTCGATCGACGAATCGTTTCTCATTGGGGTGTGTGCAAGAACTACGTAAAATACAAGTAAGACAATTGTTATTCAACAGATGAATTGTTGCTCGCATAAATGTATAATAAATTATTCACCTCACGGTTTACTCCGCCGTCGACCGATGCATCCTGAACCTCCTCCTCCTCCGCCCCTCGGATTTTCTCGTTGCACACTCGCGAAGATAGAGTTAATTATTATCGCGCGCGCACCAATGATCGGAATATTACGATCGGGTGCAAAGCTTCCGTTGTTAACCACACGCTGCACGCACTTTGTTACGTTGCGAGATAACGTTATGGAGAAATAACACGAGCATGCACCGATCGCACAAAACTGCGACCGGCGAATCGACATTAAACACGAATCTCAACCAATGCAAGATTTTACTAAACCACATTGTATAAATATCGAATTTACAGCATGCGATTATTGCGGTTATTGAAGCGCATACCGGATAGTATCAATTGTATTAATTAAACGTTACTCGACACGACGCATAAGTCGTACGAGGTATCTTTATTTCGATAGATAACCATCGTTAGCGAGAGAGTCAGTTAGACCGCGGACTGATAATCGCGTACTGTAAATTCGATATTTATAATACAATACGTCTTTGTCGCTGTCGGATGTCGGGACGTAACCGATGGTCCAATGAGAAAATTTCTTTTCTGAAAATTCAGTACGAACTACAAATTAAAAACTTCGAATACCAATATCTTTTTAATTAGACTTCTGAACCGAGTGTTTTAAGTATGAAAACGTTTTACTATGCGGTCCGCAACTTATCCTGGTATTACTTTGTGCAGAGCGAATAGAAAGGATTACAAGCGCAGAAACTACATTTGACTGTGTCGGTAAAACAGATGACTGAGTGATCCCTTGTCGCGCTCGCAGCTCGAAGGGAAACGCGAAGATACGCGGAGCCGATCGGCGCGGCTGTCCGTTCCGTTTCGCTGCCCGAACGATAATACGAAGACTCCGGCGGTCCCCGGTACGTACGCCGTGTAATTGTTTACGTTTTTCGGGCGTCGAACGCGCTGTACATTCCAGAAATTATTTACGACGTTTCGCAGAATTACCTGGTCGGCGTGGCGCATGAAAAACAATGCGTACTTGATCACCGCGCGCCCGTTATCATTCGCTCGGCGAGGCTCGCGCGGGTAGCATGTGGCGCGTCGCCGCTCCGCGTGTCTTCGCGTTATCTCTAGAATCGCACGCTGTACGAAGGATCAGCGGTATGTAAGCTCGACCGATTGAGCCTCACGATTATCGATATGTAAGGGATGTTTCGACGTACTCGATCAACAATCACAGTCATGATCAAACGTTTAACGCGATCTCTTACCGTCGCGCAGTATCATTTAAAGTTTCCACGTCGGCGATCTTTCCGTTACGGGAATCGAGCGGCCCATAATTCTTATCGCGCGTTCTATTTGTTTCTTCTCTCGTTGATATTCCGTCGCGATGCAATCAAGTGCCTGTCACGTGCGATTGACACCGCGCAAAGTGCCGTGCGGTATTCCGGTGATTATTACGCGAGTGTTAATTAACTGTGATCTCGCGAGTGAACGTTATGCGAGTGCAACGGCGAAGGAGGCTGAGAGGAGGAGATTCTGGCAGATATGGGGCGACTGCGGGGCGAGCTTGGGGTGAGTAACTTATCATTTATTCGTCATTTGGCTCGCGGAATCGATCATTTATTTCCACATGTCTGGGTAAAGGCCTGCGTCCACGATGCTAGAACTTCCAAGTTCTAGTTGCGAGAGATGCGTAGCCAATCAACTTGCAGCTATTTCATAAAAGCTGCAAGTTGATTGGTTACACATTTCTCGAAACTGGAACTTGCACCAAGTTCGAGCACCGTTGACACACGCCTTTAGCATTTTGCGTGCTACTTCGTTGTAACATAATAATTTGTTTAGTCGAGATAACGCGTCGATATTTTTGAATCTCTACGTTTTAAAAGGTGTTTGAAATATGTTTAGTACATTTGTCGTTACACTTAATATTTATACTATACATTAATATTTATGCATGTCAAAATTTCCTTGAAACACACTTGAAACTTAAATTATGTAGAATGTAGATTGTTCCTGCGAGAATTAAATATTTATTTATAAAATTAAAAGCTACTTTTGTTAGAAAAAACATTTCCGAACACTTTAATTATATAATTCTTGATTAGATGGCGCTCATGCTTGGCACCTTTTTACCTTTTCTTTAAAAAGTTATTTTTCAAAGTTAACAATTTACGTAGCTCTCGGGTAATTGTCCGTAAAAATTATTTTATGTGTATTTAACATATTTTAAATCCCTTTTATCATATCTAGCAGAAACCTATAGATGCACGCGTGTACAAAAATCTCTGAGATATTAAGTGCTTTTTCCGCAATCCTCTTTTCACGACGCACTTTTTTCAATCCTAAACGCAGTCTTCTGTTCGCTTTTCAATAACAATCTACGCGGGCAACTAACTTTGTGGAATTTTCAACGATGTAATGATAAACGTGGTCGACCATTGCATCGGTCATGCGTAACAAAAGTGCGGTGAGCTTCTGCTGCCACATTGAACAATGTTCGATGATAGTGGCTTTCAATCCATCAAAATTTATATCTAGGAAATGCACTGTCGCCATAGTTTCCTGTAGTTGTACGCTATTCGTCACATCAAGGTATTTACTTATGTCCGCGTCAAAAGATGCCGCCGTTGGTTTCAGCTTCTCGTATCTAATTTACAAGATAAATAATAAGCAACAATTATTTTATGTTGCAAACTTTAATTGCGTAGATATTTCACGAATCAAAATCGTATGGTAAAGATCAATTGTTAACACTTTCTTCGCTCATTGCTTAAAAGAGTGTATGAGAAATTGAGTCGCACTATTTTTAACCTTTTAGCTGTTCTGGTTAAGCTTCTTAAGGGGATGCTGGAGTGATTCTGCACTTTCGCACCTTTTGCACTTAAAACTGTCTGTTTCGTGGAAAGATTTGTGTAATACACAAATTAAATGGCACGTGTACAGATGATCGAAAGCAGCTTGCTATTCCGGCTAGATTAAAGAACAATATGACATCACTGATACTAAGTTTGTAAGTATAATAAAAAATAATAGTGAGCAACACACATATTACATGTACTGTATGTATGTGTTGCTCACTATTATTTCTTATTAGACTTACAAACTTAGTTTCAGTGATGCCATATTGTTCTTTCATTTGGCCGGAATAGCAAGCTGCTTTCGATCTATAGACGTAAGCCATTTAATTTATATATTTCACAAATGATTCCGCGAACTGACAGTTTTTAGGTTAGAAAGGTGCAAAAGTGCAAAATCACTCCAGCATCCCCTTAAAGCGTTAGAAGCGATAGGCCAATTAAATATATCATTTCCTATTACAAGTTTACCCTATAAGACAGTACCTTTGAATGTACAAGTCTTTATTTACTTCCCACACATCTTTGAATGGTTCCCAGATCTTGATATAATTTTGCACCTGAACGAAGCAGTGACTCATCTCTGCAACATTGACAGATTAATATTATTTTCATTCTAATATAGCATAAAGTTAAAAATATATGATAATATCGAATCGAAATCGATGAGTTAATATCGAATTAAAATTGCATATTAATAACGTGACAAGATATTTCCATTGAATCTTAGAAAATTAAATTAAAATGGAAATTTTATCTACGTTTATCTACGTTGAAATCGATTTCCGATTGAGAATTGATTGGAAGATTAACTATATTGTGATAAATATATATTAATTGCGAGTGCAATTAAAAATAGAATCGCGCAAGAAGGACATGGAGTGCTTCATGATACCGACCGTTATTGATTTTCTGTTGGAGTTCAATCAGTTCCTTGTCCTCCTTGTACAACTTCGAAAAGGGAAAACTCTTATCTGGAAGCATTTTAAACTTCGCAACTAGTCGCAAGACGCCTTTCAAGGGCCCCAACAAAATATCCAAAATGCTTCCTATTGCTGTAGCTATCTCCAAGAGGTTCGGCGTCAAGTTTATCTAAATCAACAAGCCATCCGGAGCTTATTTTCAGGCCTCTTGATATTCTTCTTTACAATAAATCTCCGCCCAGTAATTAGTTGAACATTTTTGTCGTAACGTCGGATTAAAAGGCGTAAAAATATTATTATCACTCCACACGCGCGCCAACTTTATGATTAAACAATGTACGTAATACTGTTGCATGGCATGCTATACGTGTTGTGCATAGTTACGGACATACTTTGTTATCGATAATATCCGCTTGCATTAATAGAAGAGGTGAAGGTCCTGTCGTGTCAGCGCCGTGAAGGGCTTCAAACATGATGGTCAAAGAATTCTTCAAACACAATCTGATGGCTTCCTCGATTACCGTATCGATTTTCATTAAATAATCTTTCCATTCTGCGCGGCTCTGAGAAGGAGGGAAACAATAATGCGGTTTAATATGCCGATCTATCAAGCGGGTGTACCCAGAAGTCGGTGCTTTTGTACTTTTGTACAGGAAGAATTTAGTTTTCCCGTGAAATACATTAGAACGATTGAACGCTCGGGCGTGTTGAGAAAAAAAATGTTAATTACGCTCATCTTAAACGCATTAAAATTGACCGAAAATATTGAATCCATGACGAATTGCCTTTTAAGCGTCGAAACTTAAACTTTCATTTTAATCTTTCACACGGAGTTAGCAATTTTTCGATTCACACATATTATACAATGCTTATTGAAAAAGCACAACGCTCAACGTGTATCGATTATCCTTTATCGGTTTACTTTTATCTCACATTGAAGTTCGTATTTAATGTTAATTTAATCGGTTTATTGATAAAAAAATGATAGGACAAACATGTTCCACAAGAATGCCCGTTTAGCGAGGCTGTAATTCTTGGAGACTTTTGAATTAACCGAGAAGGTACGTGCACATGGTGGCAGTCACGTTACGGAGCGACATATCATAACACGAATCTGCCATAAGTACGCTCTTTACTTCTCCAACTTTAGTTACACAAGAATTGCTTTGTGTAGCCTGGGGGTGCGCAACGTACACTGTTTCCTCCGCGGATATTCTTTCGTCGAAGTTATTCGGTCATTTTTACGTTTGCGTAGACTTTACAGGAAAAATTCTGACACAACTCGTCAGAAATTTGCTGCAAACCAGCGAGCGTGCCCTGCGGTACTCGCTCCGGAGTTTGCAGAAAATATTAAAAAATTGAACAATCTGCCGCACATTTTTTAAAATAATTTACCAAGAAATTCATTCAAGACATACTTTCAGGCGTGTGTACAAAGACAGATATTTAATAAATCAATTAATAGCCAGGCCAGCGAAGATAGCATAATAAACACAACTTAGGAGACAAGCGGTGGGCTCGTTAATACATGCAATATTAAAAGAAAAATCGTATCTTTCTTCTACACTGACAAATTTTTTTTACTAATTGTAAGTAAATAAATTTACTTAAAGTTATTTTTTCACCGAAGTAAATATTTATTCTATTTAAATAAAAAGATCAAATTTCGAGTAAATCTGTGTATTATATTTATTAAGTAATTTAATTTAAATCGTTGCATTTTCTACATTCAACTAAAGATTCCATGAGATAGAGAATACTGTTTATTAAATGAAATCATTGTTTTTGTCAAGTAAGAAATCCAATTTTCTTCGCTGTAAAACTTTTTTAAGCCTTAGTAAGCATTTTATAGAATTAAAGTAAAATTTTTGTAATTTAAAATGATCTAAACTGTTTGATATTTAATAAATACTTAAATTTAAAAATGCATGTCTTAACTTGTTTATTAGTTTTTAAATTTAAGTTAATAAGCTGTTAGGAGCCACCTGATGAATAATTTTCTTGGGTGAAGTAATATTCTTTTGGACTAAGATATTTTTTTATCAGCGTAGAATTATTGAAAAATGGCGTGTTTGAACATGTTTTATAGCTACGCTAAGGAAGCTGTACCTCTTGTATTACGCTCTTGAAGCCGTCGTAAATCTCCATGACGTACAGAAATACCATATCGAGTCTTTGAGTCATAACTTGGAATGCCTCGTCTCTGGAAAGTGAGAAAGTTCGACCGACGCGCGCTCGCCAAGCGTTAAGTTTCAGTCACGCGCCTGAATTTGCGACGGCACAATGCTAAATGGAAATTCTACCTTACGTGCAAAAGTTCCTTCTCCAATATAGGCAACGTATACGTGTAATTAACCCTTATCTTGATCATCGGGGCATCGCAGATGTTCTCGCAGATTCTTACGATTTTAGAGTTCACGTTCTTGTAAGTATCGATGAAGTCCTGGAACTGAAAGGGCGAAGAAATTAATCTCTTCGTTTGCCACTCGATTCGCGCATTGCAAAACATTATAACGTTGAAAGACCCCGTTAAAAATATTAGATAGAATATGATCGGATTACATTAGATTATATACGAGTCTTATTAATTTACGTTGAAGCTGCATGTAATCTAATGTAATCCGATCGTATTATTTTAAACGGGGGGATCTCGTTTAGTTCTTATCGATTCTGAAATTGCAGTACAGAAGCAAAGATAAACAAGAAGAAAATATTAACTTTGAAAGAAATGAAGACAATACAGCGCAGATTAATGCTACAGCTAAGATGAGTGCCTTGCGATCTTGTCTCTTTTGACGCGCGTGTTAACAAAGCGATTATTCCGTTTTTGCGTTTATATCGTAATTAAACGTTGGAAGGCAGATAGATAGCGAGCGAGGTGTCTCTTAGACAGCTGAAAATTAAATTTTACCGCGAGGTTACCCTACACACTGCATGAATTTATATGGACTTGGCACATGGACGAGGTAAGAGACTCTAAGCGTACATTGGCCGTTTCGTTGAAACAATTCTCAATGTACGAGTCCACGTAATCCGTGTTCCACGTCAGCTTGGTTAAGCCGGGATTGATCTTCCGGTCGAGCTGCCGAATTAATTCGCGAAACAGCGCACGTTCTGTCAGCGACAATGCTGAAAAATAGAAGTTTCGCTACGTTGCAAGAATATTTCGCTACCATTCGCGTGTGACTGCAAATACGGAGAATGTCGCTTTCATCGCGCGCATTACGGGCATATACGCTGTTTGAATTGTGTCATCATGATATTTGCATAAGCACTCACATTTTAGCCGGGGGACTTTTTCATCATAGCTTAGGAAAAATAAATTTAGCTGTTGTATATTCATTGTACACGTACATTCGGCTGTGAATTGTAAAATGCAACGTTATATAGAGTTGTTTGCGTAAATTAATAAAATGTTGCGTTTTTTTCAAAATAAATCTCGATTAGATGAACTCTTAAAAACAAAACTCGAGTAGGGATAATTTTTTTAAATTACGCGTCGAATATCAATTGTTTAATATTTGTATTTAATATTTGTAGCATTTATTTAATTTTTTTATTTAATTGAATGGTATATTAAATTCTCTGCTGAAAGTGGAGCGTCCGAATAATCGAGGAATGCTGCTTTAATTCGTACTTTTGCATTATTGAATTTCGTCATAAAGTTGTTTACAATTAATTATCTAATGTAATTAACATTTCACTTAACGCATCGTTGCCCTCAACAAGAGAAGTGTTTCTGCAAATATCTCGTTTCACAATTTACTCTGTATGACCGTTCGGTGAGCGATTAGTGGAAATAGTAAACCTTCGATGATCTTGTTATACGCCAGCGTGACAGCGAGGACACTTTCGTAGATAAAGTGCAGCGTGTCCCACTTGTCGTGTATCAGTTGTACGTGCACGGGTATGTTGAATTTCAAGCTGATCCAATAGAAACACTCGCGGCAGAGATTCAGGATATTAGGGTCGATGTTACACTCCAGCAGGCCGGGTTTACCGTCGCTCCGCCGCATCAGGTAGCGATCAAGTCGCGCGCGCGGATTATCACCGACGTCGTGCAGCCATTTTACGTGCAGGTCCCTCATGGAGTCCTCGATGGATCTGATCACGATGTCCTCCTGATGATAGATCTCCTCGCTCATGCCGCAATAGGGCATCCACTCGGCCTTCTCCAGCATCTTTCGCGTCGATAGCAGGCGGTCACCTTTCAGACGAAGATTCAACGCTCTGCCCGCGTAATACGGTGTGATTGACGAATATTCTTCCCTCTCGTTCAGCACCTCCTGCTTTGTCCGTTGGATATCGTCGGCCAAAATCTGCCACACCTTGGAAATTGTGGGTTTCGAACGTTACTTACCGCTTCGACGATTCAGGACGTGGTTGTGGTAATTTAGAAAGATTTGAGGATTTAAAGCGATGTATCTCTGACGTTTAGGCAGAATAGTGATATTAATAAGTTTGACATGTGCAAATTCTCTCGTGGAT